ACCCACTAATTTTCCAAGAGGAATTAGAGAAAGTTAAGGAGAGATATCCTAGGCACTCACATGTCTTCACAGATGGATCTAAAGTAGGAAAAATAACAGGATGTGCCGCAATATATAATAGAAAAATATTTAAAAACATCTCCCCAAATGACACCTCTATATTCAGTGCAGAAGTTTGCGCAATTAACATGGCTCTTAACCTCATCTCAGAATCAAGGAACAACAAGTTCATTATCTTTTCTGATTCACTATCAGTATTAGAATCACTAAAAAACAGGAAGTTTGATAATCCATTGATAGTGAAAATACTATGTAAATTAGAACACCTATCAAATGATAATGATATACAGATATGTTGGGTCCCAGGTCACACTGGAATCGGTGGAAATGACCAGGCAGATAAAGCAGCCAGGTCTACTCTAAATATGACCATAGAAAAATTTCAAAATACCATATACAGACCTTAAAATGAAGATAAATAAATACATACTGCAACAAAAAGACAACAACGCTGGAACAGCAATAGTAATAATAAATTACTAAAAATTAAACCTGAATTGGGAGAATGGAAACAGAGCTATAGGAAAAATAGAAAAGAGGAAGTGATATTGTCCAGACTTCGTATAGGCCATACAAGGACAACACATTCCTACTTACTTGAAGCAAAGCAACAACCAATGTGTTATGCGTGCCAGACCGCATACACAGTGAAACACATTCTCATTGAATGTACTGACCTAGCCCATATAAGAGAAACGCTTTATAGTGCAAGTAACATGAAGGAACTGTTCCAAAAACTGACATGGATAACATAATATCGTTCCTGAAAGCAGTCAATTTGTACCAAAAAATCTAAAAGCATAAAAAGTTGGGAGTTTTCTGCAAACTTTTGCTGCAAGGAATATTTTCAACAAAATCTGATTCTTACTGCATACCATTTCTCAAAAAAAAAGGAAGAAACTTCCCTCGATACAATTCTCTACAAAAAATTTTTTTGACAGAACCAGATTTTTCTACAAACCATTTCATTTCTAAAAACCTTTTTCAGCATGGCAAACCTCTCCGTTTGTGGAAATGGAAGGGACTATTATATTGAAAATAATATTCCAATAATAACCTGATTTGACATTAAATGACTGAGGAGGTCGATATGTCGTAAAACACAAACAAACAAACAAACAAAGCACTGGCACCAGCTGGATCTCATACTGGTCAGATGAGCCGCCATTAAGAACATCCTTCACACACATTCTTACCACAGACAGACTGTGATCAAGCTCCAGCCCAAGAAGCTGGGGTGTCCTTGCATTGATGTCAGCAAGATGAGCCAGCCAGAGCTTGTGCAACAGTTTGTCAAGAGGTTTGAAAATGAGTGGTCAGCCTCACGGACTGGAGACTCTGCCACGGAGAAGTGGGTGACCTTGCGGTACACCATGCACCGTACTGCCTTGGCTACCTTTCAAAGTCATATGACTGGTTTGAGACAAAGTCCACCAAAATGGCTCCTGTCATTGTGGCCAATCGTGCTGCTTTTGCAGAATACAAGTGGTCACCCAGCAAGAGAAACCTGCAGATCCTCCAAGCTGCCAGGTGCAAAGCTCATCACACTGCCAGACGCTGCACCAACAAGTACTGGACAGAGGCTAGGAAAACCATCCAGCAGCAATTACAGGGAACATAAGAAGGATGTACGATGATATCAAGACTGCAATGGGACCAGTGCAGAACAAGACAGCTCCCTTCAAATCCACTACTGGGGAAATCATCATAGACAAGGGGCAACAAATTTTGAGATGGGTGGAACACTATTCCGACTATTCCAGGCAGAATGTTGTGACGACAACAGCCCTTGATGCCATTGAGTGCCTGCCAGTCATGGAGGACCTTGATACTGAACTGACCATAGAGGAGCTTAGCAAGGACATTTGCAGCTTGGCTTCCGGGAAGCCCCCCACCCCCGGACCTGATTGAGCACTGCAAGACTGCCCTACTTCTCCCATTGCACAAGGTCTTCTATCAGTGCTGGTAAGAAGGACATGAGAGATACCAAGATCATCACCCTCTACAAGAACAAGGGTGAGCAGTGGGCAAAGTCTTCACTTGGGTCATCTTGGTCTGCCTGCAGGAACTTGCTGAACGTGTTTACCCAGAGTTGCAGTGCGGTTTCTGAGCTGAAAGATCAACGTTAGACATGGTCTTCTCCCTCCACCAGCTCCAGGAGAAGTATAGAGAACAGGAGATGCCCCTGTACGTCATTTTTATTGATCTTACCAAGGCGTTCGGTCTCTTCAACAGAGAAGTCCTCTTCAAAATCCTGTCTAAGATTGACTGCCCACTCAAGCTGCAAAGCTTGACTGAGTCATTCCACAGCGACATGTGCGGGACTGTGCAGTTCAATAGCAACACCTCTGAGCTCTTCAACATTTGCAGCGGGGTCAAACTGGGCTGAGTCTTCACTCCTACTCTCTTCTGGATTTTCTTTGCATTGCTTCTGAAGCATGCACATCAAGAGAAGAGATTTACATGGTTATGAGATCAGATGACGGGTTGTTCAATCTCGCCTGCCTCAAAGCCTGGACCAAAGTACTTGCAAGAGACATCCTTTTTGCCGATGATGTGGCAGTAGTGATAACACACCCAGTGTGAACTTCAGACACTGATGAACCATTTCTCCCAGGTCTGCCAGGACTTCAGGCTGACCATCAGCCTGAAAAAGACAAATGTTTTGGGACAAGGTGCCAAAACACCACACACCATCACCATTGATGACTATGAGCTTGGTGCGGTCCATCAGTTCACATATCTTGGCTCCACCATCACTGACAACCTCTCCTTAGACGCAGAGATTGACAAGAGAATTGCGAAGGCAGCCACAACACTTGTGCACATCACAAAACATGTGTGACCAATCCCAAGCTGTTGGTGAAGACCAAGATGGCAGTGTACAACACCTGCGTTATCAGCACACTGCTATATGGCAGCAAAGCTTGGACCACGTACGCCAAGCAAGAAAGGTGTCTGAACAACTTTTACATGAGAAGCATCTGCTGCATCCTGGGAATAGCGTGGCAAGATAAGGTGCCCAACACTGAGGTCCTGTCTTGAGCAGGTTTGTCCTGCATATTCACACTGCTCAGACACTGCAGACTAAGTTGGTTGGGCCATGTCCATTGCATGCCAGATGGCCACATCCCCAAAGACCTCCTGTATGGAGAGCTGGCTGCTGGAAGGAGACCTGCCAGGTGGCCACAGCTGTGGTACTGCGATGTCATGAGATGCGATATGAAAGCTGTGGACATTAACACAGAATCCTGGGAGAGCCTGGCAGCCATATGATCTGAATGGAGAGGAACCCTGATCAAAAACCTCAAGTCAGGGGAGGAGAAGCTGACACAAGTCACCACAGAAAGCAAAGTGACAGCTCCAACAGACCAGAAACAGAACACACAAACCCCTACACACTCACTACCTGGTCGTTTTACTGACTGCTTCATTATATGGATACTGGCTGGAAGATCTACCCATCTGCCCACACGTTCCACCAACCAGAAAGGAGGCCGTCCTGGGTAAGACGATAACTACGTCCAGCAGCAAGGCCTCTGATCAGGAGGTTTTGAGGAGCGTGGAACCACCTCTTAATTGCTGGTGTTCCCAGGTCAATCCTGACTCGGGGTGGTAGCACCTGTTAGGGTCCCAGCTATGGGCAATTAGTTAACACCCAAACTACATCTGCATCCTGGGTATGACAATAAACCTATATGTTTTTGAAAAAAAAAAAAATAAAGGCCTCTGATAATAAAAGTTGCCAACTATACGTTTTGAAAAAATAAAGTTGCCAGCTATACGTTTTTGAAAAAAATAAAGTTGCCAGCTATACGTTTTTGAAAAAAATAAAGTTGCCAGCTATACGTTTTTGAAAAAAATAAAGTTGCCAGCTATACGTTTTTGAAAAAAATAAAGTTTTGAAAAAGCTATAAAGTTACTTAGCTATACGTTTTTGAAAAAATAAAGTTACCAGCTATACATTTTTTTTTTTTTTTGAAAAAATAGTGTTTTTTGCCGGGTAAAATACCTTTTTTTTTGAAAAAATAATATTTACCACCTCCTATATGTTTTTGAAAAAAAAAATTATCAACTATACATTTTGAGGAAAAATGTTTACAAAATAGATTTTTGAAAAAAAAAAGTTTTTTTTTTTTTTGAAAAATAGTGTTGCCGGCATTAAATGATCCATTGAGGTTAATATGCCATAAAACAAAACAAACCAAACCAGAAAGGAGAGACCCCACCCAGACAAATTTTGAGTTGTCAGACTTTCAAAGAACCTTATTTCTATGGCTATCTAGAAACGCTAACAAAACTTTGTTTGATAATTCAAAGGCGATTTGAAGACAGGATTCCTGAATATCCTGGTCATTTAATTGAATTAGAAGGAAAAGGAATCTATCTATTAATCTCCTAAGGATGTGAGAAATCATATTGCTACACTAGTACAGTTTGCGTTTATTTATGTTAAAGATTGTAAATTACCATTCTGTGATTTAGATTTTTGACATGGTAACATTGAAAACACAACCAATGACAAGAAATCAAATTTTAAATTTAACAAAAAACAAGCTTTATTTGAAATAAAAATAACAGTATTTGTCTGAGGATTCTTTTATGTTTATATATCATTTTTTGTTTATATTTTGACATTACATTAATTTGTAATGATGATTTAATCATAATATGTTTAATTCTGGGGTCATTAAATGATGAATGCATCGAGTAGAAGTGTTTAAATACTAGTAACCCAACTGTTGATGCATAGAAAAGTTTTTAGATGTTGAGATGTAAAATGGTTTTTAGAACTATTTTACTAAACTGTGATTTACATAGCATGAAATATATTTGAAGTCCTTAAAATTGTATGCAATATTGATTTTTCATATAAAATTTTAACAGCAAATGCATATTTAATAAAAAAAAAAACTTACTAATTCATTTTGTATTGATAGGTTTGGTGGATATTGACAATTTATATGATAAGTTAAGAGAATTGTCCATCAGGCACAGGTGAGTGGCCAATTTCATTTTTTTTTATTTGAAGATATTTTATGCTGATAAGTAGAAGGGCAAGAATATATCACTAAATTATAAGAGTGAACAGATGGTGAATCTTGCTTGTTAACACTTTGTAGCACATATTCTAGATTTTGTGGTAGATATGGAAAATGATACATTCAAATATTTTGTTTGTATGATTGTTTATTATACAATCATTCAGTAATTTTGATCTATTTTATTTTTTCTGTCAGCATCAAAATTGTCACTAATAAGTTTGGATTTTATGAGTACTATATTTGAAACTTTTTACTTGTCAAAAGAATAGAAAAACAAGAAGTCTTGAATTTTTATGAAAGCATAAAAAAAATTATTAATACTCTTCATGAACTGGTACATTTTCTATTATGTATTTTCAAGAAGATGCATTGCTTCTCAGCCTTTTTCTTTCATTGCCCAAAAGCACTCACCAGAAAAATCCTTTTTTACTTGATGTACATAAAAGACTGCACAGAAAAAAACCCTAACAAATGAAGAGACATGCATTAAAATATAGGAAACAAATTGCATGTTTGATCAGTGTATTTATTTTAAACATGTCTAACATGATTTTGCTGGCTATTGAAAAGCTTATTAATTATTCACTATAGTTATTTCATCCAAAGGATGAAAAATGTCACTGATCTTTGGGAAAGGTATGAAGCCATTTCTTCTCCCTCCAGCTATGGGTTGAATAACAGGACAGACTGGGTCCTATAGCCTTGGTTGGTGACCAGTCTACTGCAGAAAGAATTGGTAATCTACTGTGGGTAAATCTTCAGACACTCTTTTCCAACATGCCTTGAGCCAACATTGAAGACTAGGCTCATAAATAACATGAGAATAATATCTCATGTTGATGCACATTCTGCAACATTGTGGAGTAAGTATTTTTTAATTCAATGTCTGATTACTCAAAGAAGAATGAATTTTATTTTGGGAAGCACTGGCAAGATGGGAGTGCATGCATGTGACTGATGCTGCAAAGCACATGAGGGATAGTTTTCATAAAATGTTTTTTTTCTGGTCTTTATTTGATGATTTCTAAAACAATGTTTTCAAGATAACATCTTTGCAATAAATGGTAAAAGGAAAATAACATTAGGAAAATTATAATAATGAAATTGTAATTGTTTAAGAAAAGCAAATGCATTTTTCTTTTGTATTGAAAATAGTTTTTCTTCACAAACCCTACAAAAGCTTAGCTTAGTTTGGCACAGATTTATAGATATAAAATGTTAAAAAATTTGGACAATTTAAATTGGTTGATCAATCTGTTTATATGTTAAGTTACTCAAAGTTTCCACTGTGTCACTAGACATTTCTCAAAGTTTCTGGGCATTTCAGTGTGGTATAATTGTTAGCAAGCTTGTCTTGCTAGATCAATTATGACTGAGTAGTGAGTTTGGGCCTCACTGGGTGCTATATACTTAAAAGGCATATAACCACATCACTTTGAAACATTGGTTCCTGTACAATATCAAGCCTGGTTAGTACCTAGATGGGTGACTGGTTGGAATACCATGTGTTGTAAGGTTGGATGTTTGGGTGGTGTAATCAATAATAGCTTGGAATTGTTAATCTGAGAGCCAAGTCTCAATTCCAGTTGGGTTCCTTATATTCACTTATGTGTAAATACCCTTGGGAAAGGTATCAATCCACACCTTCTTCACTTAGCTATGTGTTAATTTTTAGGACTTGTATCACTAAATCATTACCCCCTCAAAAAAAAAAAAATTCTTACAATCTAAAATTATTTCCTGGCTTTAAATAATCTGCAAAGGGTTGATAAGCCATAGAAAATAAAAAAAATAACCAATCAAAAAAAAAAAAATTTCACATTCTCTTATTAATTTAGCTCTACACATGAAATCTTGTGATGTTGAACTTTTTAGCCATGAAGAAGAATAATATATATGGGTAGTTCAGGTTTTTAAATCAGAATATTTAAATAATATTTAAATATATAATAAGAAGAAATATTTCTGTCTGAATTTGTGGAGTAAGGAGTTATCATTATTTACATTGTTTATAGTCAGACTAGGTATTTGCTCTGTTTCCCCACTAAGATGAGTTGTGACACAAGGTCAGTTTTTAAGGTGGAGACCCGAGCACGTACACCCGGGCTAGGAACGAAAATTGTCCACAGCCCTCACAACTGGCTGTTGTGCTGGCCTTGGTGTGAGCACCAATACCTCTCTCTGGTACAATGAGAGGATGCGGCCTTGGGCAGCTGTTCCTTTGGGCTGGGCACCTCTCAGTATAATTTTCCTCAGTTGCGACTCTGTCCTTTGACAGAGCTGCCCCTGAGTGCACCCTGCCCAAAGACAAAGATGCGACTGAGAGATGATAAATAATGTGTTACAAACCACTTGAGAGAGTAGTTTATACACTTATTTTTTGTTTATAGTCAGACTAATATCAGCACATTATGTCCTAGATTGAGAACTGTGTATACCACTATAGATTAAATAAAGGTTTCAACTTGAAATTCCCTCAAGGTTACCTGGATTGGCAAACACAATAATGACTGGTGAAATGTTATAGCAAAAAAGATGAGGACATTAATTAGAATATAAATAAAAATGTATTAAAGTAAAAAAAAAAAAGAAGAAAAATGTTCACTGTATTGAAATCAGTTTCTAGGAATTAACTAGTATCTTAGACCTCATGACACTCAGTTGAATACTCTAGTTTAGGGTTGCACCAATCAGCATTTTCATTTTAAAAAATTTTTTTGTTCAATAAATCAGTTTTTCTAGTTGATCATACTCATTTATTATATGACAGAATTTTCATCCTAGTCTTAAGAATCATTAATTCTCATAGATATAAAAAAAATGTACAGGTGTATCAACGACAAGGGAAAGCTGAATTGCCTGACTTTTCCAAGATTTCCTTGACCAAATTTTGCTAACTTCCCTGACTTTTTGTTATGTTAATCACCTCAAAATCCTCAAATTTGTTGACATCCCCTGACTTTGAGGATATTATTTTATTTTATGTATTCTTTCTGGGAACTGACAAAACTGTATGTCACACAAATATATAGACACAATATTATAAAAGTCACTTCTGTATTTTCTTTCTTTCTTTTTTTTTTTGTAATCTTTTCACTTCAAGCAAAGCAATAAAGCCATTAAGAGGCATGGGGTTACTGAGTGTAAAAGAATATGAGTAAAAGAAAACCTTATTAAAGAGAGAAACAGTAGGAAGTAAGAAGACAGAAGATAACGATTAACATTGCATTTAAATTTTTGAAGGTCAAAGTTGACTGGGAAGCAAGAAGCCGTACGAGAGTTTCACAAGCAAGATCTGCAAGAGAAGAAACTGTTAGCATAGAATTTGTGATTACATTTAGCTATTTCAACCATGTAATAATGAGACTTGCCACCAATCTAGAACTGTGCTTAAATTCATAAAGTCTAGGTACCAAAGAGGAAAGCTCATCAGAACAATTGCCATGATAATATTTATAGAAATGGCACAGTGAAGCTATATTACATAGATGGGAAAATAACTGAAGGCAAGATGCCTGGTCAAGACCAATATTGCAGATTCTTCTTTGGATTATATCAAGAATCTCTAAATACATAGAAGCACCAGACCAGATGTGGCTGCAATATTCAACGTATGGATGAATGGTAAACTTAGAAATGTATATGTATAAGATAGATTCTGGCAAGAAAAATTATCTAGCATGACACAGTGAATCAACTTTCCTAACAGCAGACCTAGCAATTGATTTAAATATAATCTTTCCACTTCATGTCAGCAGAAAATGTTTGTCTGAGAAGGCATAATAAGTTACGCACCAGGAGGTTAGCATCAGCCATGCTGATGGAGAACAAAAAGTTTTCTCAGATGATTAAAAAAAGTGCAGTTTCATTTTGAAGGTGTTAAAATTAACAATCCATTCCTTACCCCAGTTAACAACAGATTGTAGATTATTTTTGAGATCAGCTGCCAATTTGGCCTTATCAAACTGATCAGACATCTCATTAAGACAGGAGTAAATAGTTGTCATCAACATAGATACCGAATTGAGAACTGATGACATCAGGAAGTTAATTGATGAAAATCAGGAACAATGGGGGACACAAGCATTAATGTAAAAAGATCTTAAGAAAAATGTCTTGAATGGCTATCATTCAAGACAAATATCATTTTGTAATTTGATTAGAATGATTGAATCAGATCAAAAATTTTTCTATGACTACCATAATCTACAATCTTAAAATGTGCTTGCTTTTTAGCTCACTCTTTTCCAAAATAAATTAATTTATTTGACAGTTGTAGATATATTGACTACTTACTTCACAGCATTATGATGAGCGTATGTATTTTGAAGATATGATTGATTACAAGTGATGAGTTATTTTTGACACAGTAAAAATCAATATTATATCACATACAAAAATTGTTTTCAGCAACAAGAAATTCTGTGACATTTCAAAATTTGCAGTAACTTCCCTGACTTTCCTTGATTTTCAGTTTTCCCTGATCATTGGTCACCCTGAATATTCTCAGTTTTTCATTAATGTTTGTTGACTATCTTTATTGAGAGTAATTAAATTACCAGTTAATTAGTGCAATGCACCTCTTGTTTTCCATCAAATGTAAATTGACCTTGTGCCAGGTTAGTGCATAAATCTAATAAATATTGAGAAATAGAAATTTTTAAGAGTTTTATTTATGCTCAAGGGTTATATACTTAATGCTACAAGACTTAATATTCCTAAGAATTCTGTTGAATAAAATACCGTATTTTTCCTAGTTTTTAATCCAGTGGTTCCCAACATTTTTCCCTAGGTACTCTTTTCACCTTTTATTTAAAGAAAAAATTTTTATGATTACCAAATGCAAGGCCCAAGGGCCACTCAAGGTAGAGAGTTACTGTGTGGAGATGTATTAGTGTAAGAAAAGGGCAAGATAACAGGGAAGATAGACATCTAATTCTAGACTTGAAGAGGTCAAGATTTAATTAGCGAATAAAATCTCAGAGTTCAAGCAGAAATGTTAAAAGTATAGAGTTCAAGTAAACTTTAGAAGGGACTGTAAACATGGGATGAACCTCTACTCTTGTTCAAAAGACTGGGGAGTAGTATGAACCTGATTATAGGCAAACTGATTTTTTTTTTTTTTTTTTTTTTTTTTAATTCCACCCCAAGCAAGGCGATAATACCACAAAAATGCATTGGGTTACTGGAAGTGAATGAGAATGAGATTTTAGAAGGAACTGGGAACCCACTCCTAAACAGAATAAACCTCTACTCCTGTTCAAAAGACTGGGGAGGAGTGTGAGCTAGATGATAGGCTAACCTATCTATTCCTATTGAGGAAAAATAAATAGTAAATAAAATTACAAAGTTTAGGCAGAGATGTTAAAAGTATAAAGTAGACTTTAGAAGCTTTATTATTTCAGAATAGCATATTTCCATACCAAAGATTGTTTGAATAATAAAATGACAGCATTCTAGAATGATCAATATTTTAACAATTTGAATCTGTAGTTCCTATTACCCTCTGAAATGCTAAGATGTGATTGGAAGCCACTGGTTTTTAAGTATTTTGTTTTTATTTTTTATAAATGCATAATTTTGTTTTCTTTTCTTATAGGTTGTTTGTCATTCCCTTACATTCTTCAGTTACCATTGAAGAACAAAACAGAGTGTTTCAGCCAACGCCTGAAGGTCACCGTAAGGTTAGACATTGCCTCAAATATTGATCGGTGTTAGAATAAAAATGTTAGACATTTGCCATATTTAAAGAGAAATATCTCATTTTGAAATTGTGATAAATCATTTACAAAAATTGATTTTTCTCAAATATAATTCTAAAAGAGTAACGAGAAGAAAATTTTATGAAAATGAAATTTCTTTGTCAAATTGTAGGTGTAAGTTATATGGTGGAAATATAGCATTCCTAAAAAGAAATGACAACTTTGACACTGGAAAATGTGACAAGTATGCTTATAAAATTGTCAGTCAAGTAATTACACTGGGGAATCGATGTGTCAACAATAGACTTTATTTTAAATTATTTTCAGTGTTTTTCTTAATTCTGTTATTTGAGTGTAATCATGTCATTGGTATGTCATATTCAGATTTGAAAAAGAGAATGATTTGATGTTTCAGCAGTAACAATCCATTTTTGTTACTTGCTCAGAAGATAATAAATTCAAACTGCTATGATAAAAATATCAGTTGAGATGTGACAACCATTATGACATAGTTGTTTAGTAAACAAATTTAATGCAGCATTCAGTGAGAATTAAGCTCGCTTCAGAAACAAATTAAGAATGGTTATGATTGCTCTAAAATTAGACATTTTAAAAATATTAAGCACAAAAGAAGTTATGAAAAAAAAAATTAAAAAAAATTGAATTTAAAAAAAATTATTAAGCACAAAAGTAGTTATGAAAAAAAAAATTCTTTCTAAACAAAATTTTACTGAAGTTAGCTTTTTTAATATTTCAATATTTAACTAATTTTCATACTTTATATATTTACTAATTGACCAATGGTGGCAAAAATGACAGCAATATCTTATTATAATTTTGCTTGCCCCTTCCTTAGTTAGCACAGCCCATTACACCCTGTAAATACCTCATAAATAGTGGACTATTCTGTTTTGATCATGTAGAAAGATGGCAAAGACATATCAGGTATGCTACTTGTTTTCAGTGATATAAAGAAAGAAAAACACAAGTGTTTAATGTCTGTTTCAGTGAAATGAAAAAAAGTTGTCAATTTTCAATATTTTCATTTGTACTCTTTTCTTAAAATAATGACCAACATACATATTTATGTCTGTTATTACAATAAGTTGTTAAGCTCAAATATTTAACAGATATTTTATTGTAGAACTTGCCGTGAGCTTATTCAATCATTAACTTAAGAATTAAGATTCATCAGAAAATGGTGAAATTTTCAGATATTTCATGATTATGTAATTTTATAATTACATTGTACATATGAAATATCAAAAACTTTGTTGCTATGCATTTTCTTGATGGTCTATACTTCCTGAATATTAAACTAAAAGTAGAATTCAGTAAAGATAATGATGGACCCTCTGCTTTTTTCTCATATAATAAATGAAAAACTTGTAATAAATAAAAGTAGTTTTTAACATATTCATGCAGGGTGCGATGGGTAAATTGTCGCCACTTTATATTTCTAATTTTGCACATATGCGTTGTTGGTTTTTAATTTTGTTGACTGCACAGTATAATAGGGTCAGTTGGGCACTGTCTGTGAAAAAAAGCACCCCATGATGCAATTCACTCTGCCAGAAATTTGGAAACAGCATGCTGTACTGCTTGGCATTTGCTCTGAAGGCTCCCATATGAACATTTCAGTATGTTTTAGTGTCAATCTGAGGACAGTGCAGAGGATTCACAAAGAGTTGGATGAGTCTAATGGCACTTATGAAGGTATGGCAGCTCAGAAAACTCACTCTGATCATTCTGATAAGAACTCCCAGATTTGTTGGTGAGGGCTTCATACTAAACCTAGAAGACCCTATGTCTGGCAACAGGATTCTACACCATGCCACACAAGCAGGAGAATCCAGTGATGTCTGTCAGACAATTTCTGCAGTCACATTGCCTCTTATATCTGGCTACCTAACTCCCCAGACTGCAACCCCTTTGATTATTATGTGTGGGGCACAGTTAAGTGAGAGTCTGATAAAACTCTTACTGTAACACTAAAGTTGAACTGAAGGCAATGATTATAGCAGCATTCAACAACTTGAACAAAGAAACCATTCAGAAGAGTTGCAGAAGATTCTGAAGTCATCAGGAGGCTATGATTGGAGCCAATGGTGATTTTATTGAATAAATTTACTCTTCAGTATTTCAAGATATTTTTGTGTGATTTTGGTAACTATATCTGTTAAAATGAGATGTCAGTGTTGTTTTCATTTTTGTGTAATTTAGGTGACAATTTATACATTGCACTCTGTATATTAAACATTTAAGTTAAAAAGCTTATTTTTTCTATCATGCTGACTGTTTTTTATGACTTTAATGCTGTATTAATAGAATAATAATGTATCTATTCTTTTTGTGATGTCAGATAAAACTGTTACAAACACAAAATGTGTGAAGGTGCTGAAAAGTTCAAATCCTAAACAAAGACCTCCATAATGAATTCTGATGGTTGGTCAACTTTTCTCTCCAGAATCTACCTTATATATTTATAAGTCTATCTTTTGTCTATGTTTAGAATATTGTTGCCACATATGGCCACCCTGTTGGCTGGGGTTTCAGAATACACCTCTGCAAATAGGTAAACTCTGTCCCCAATGAGGCCATCTGTTGGCAGTGGGTGGTGACCTGTTATACCTAGAGATGGGATCTTGGTGATTGAGGGCTTCAGGAAGAGAGATGGATTAACTCCCGAATCCCAACATATCACTTTGGCCTTTATCTGGGCTAGACAGGCAGTTGGAGAGGCCTTGATACAAAGGTGTTGGCTGTAGGGTCAATCATGCTCAGAAGATACAATTGTTCCAAACTATGTCTGAGCAAGTAGTTAACTTGGTAACTAAGACTTAGGAGGTTAAACAATTATTGACTCATCATAGTGTAAGTATATTGACTGTATAGCACTGATATCTGCCAAGGTGAATGAGCTTCCCCCCTGGCATTTTCCCTAGTAGGGGGCTTTGTGGTGGGTGGGGAGTACAGTCATTATATGGAAATAGAAAGAAAAACCCAAGCTAAGAGACTTCACGCAGCCAGATTCTGACTCAGAACAGCCTGACGTACCTTTTCCTAGGTTTATAATACTTGAATCTAGAGAGGAGGAGATTCAACTAAATTATCACCATTCCTGATACAGAAGGTTATATCCTCAATGGTTAATCCGAAATCAGTAAAAAACTTTTTAAAAAATGGAACCGTCCTGAGAGAAATATCAAATAAAAAAACATGTGAACACACTATTAAAGACTAACAAAATTTATAACATCTGTATAAAAGCATACCCACATGAAAGATTGAACTCCTAGAGGCGTGGTTCATAGTGGAAATCTATCACTTTGTACCATAGGAGAAATAAAAGCCAAGTTAAAAAAAACAAACAAAATGTGATTGACATCAAAAGGATAACAATTAAAAAACAAAATCAAATAATTAATACCAACACGTATATATTATCTTTCAATACTCTGACATCACTACCCAAA